GGGGTCCCGACACCCGCCCCCCCGCAAGTCGGAAATCTGTGTATAACTTTTGACTCCCCCAAAACTGAACTGCTAATTGCCTATTGACCTGAAGTCTTACTGATAAAGTCAGTTAACACATGTTCTGTATGTTGTGTGTATTACATACTGTATTCTTATGGTAAAGCTAGAGAAAAGAAAATGTTATTAAAATCATAATAGAAAATACCTTTACGGTACTGTCCTGTGTTTATTGAAAAAAAGCCATGTGTAACTGGAACTGCACAGTTCACACTGGTGTTGTTCAAAGGTCACTTAGAGTCTGAAGAGAAAATGTGAAATAAGGAAGTGGAAATGGCTTACATAGGTTAAGTTTTGATGACAATTTTGCTTTGAAAGAGAGGGAGAACCCAGGTGGCTTCTAGAAGAGTGTGTGGGCTGGAAGGCAGGGTGGTTGGTTACTTGGTTGGTTAGTAAGACGCACAGTAATTTTGGCAGGCTTTTTAAAGCTGACTGATGTGATCCAGTAGTGAGGGCACATGATTCTTCAGTGAATGAGAAGGGATGGGATCCGAGAAGTAGAAAAGGGGATGCTCCTAGATAGCAGCAGGGACAGTTCATCCACTTTCACAGGAGCGAAGGCAGAGCCTAAGGTCACAAATGCAGACAGGTTGGTGACTCTCTCGGTGGGATGATCAATGCTCCTGTCAGATCGTTTCTATTTTTCTCAGCATAAAGTTAGGTCATGAGCTGAGATAAAGGAGTTTTGTGATAAAGGAATAAGAGAGTCATCTCAGTGAAAAAGGGCCTTTCTTACGTCCCATCACGTTCCTCAAACCTTAACCTAAGAGGGCAGGCGCCCTGGATCGCAGGGTCTTTTTTTTTTTTTTCGCCCAGCGGTACCTTTGGGCCCTGGTGCAGATCCAACCCCGCGTCCCCTGCGCGCTTCCCACTGTCCGGCTGCACGGGCACGGACGCGGCGTCCGGCCTGTTCAAAAACCGAGAACCCGATCCATCTCACTTCCCTGCCTGGCCTTCTCCTGTGGCCCTACCCGGGCGACCGACAGCAGCGCGCGTCGTCGCCTCGGACGCGGGGCGGGTGGGTGGAGTCGGCTGAGCGGCCGCAGCGGCGGCGGCCGCTAGTGGGTCCTTTAGTGGCTCTGGGGCGGGGCTGTGGGGAGGGCGCCGACTGACCGACGGACCCCGCCGGGATGGGGAGTGTGGCTGCTCCGCCAGGGTCCTGCGGGTGGGAGAGACGCTCCGCGACCACGGGTGTCCGGAGCCCCTCCGTGTTGTGCTAGAGATGCTCTTCCTCTCGGTGAGTTGTTTTTCTGTCTCGGCGGGCCGGCTCCTCGGCCTAGGTCACGCCCCGGGGAGGAGGAAGGAGCTGGGCCACCTCGATCTGTGTGGCCTGGATAGGGCCGAGCGACGGGGCAGTGACCAGCTGCGTGGGCCTCCTCCCTTTGGGCATGTTGATCCGCGGCTGCGCTCCCTGTTCCAGTTTCATGCAGGCTCCTGGGAAAGCTGCTGCTGCTGCTGCCTGATTCCAGCCGACAGACCTTGGGCCCGGGAGTGGGGCCGGCGCTGGCGGCTGGAGATGGCCGACCCGAGATCCGTGCACGAAACCAGGTTTGAGGCGGCGGTGAAGGTGATCCAGAGTTTGCCGAAGAATGGTAAGTGCGCTGGGTCCCGGCTGCAGAAGCCTACCCCCGAGGCCGGAGGCCCCGGTTTCTGAACCTCGCCTCCTTTAGTCTTTCTGCTTGTCGTCTTGCTGATTTAACCTCCTTCGTTTCTGCGTTTAAAAAGGAATGTAATTGGAGGGAAGGTAAAGAGTGTTAATTAATTACTTGCTGACCTTTCAAGATTGTGAGTAGTTTTTATTGCTGAAAACAGAAGTCTTACTTAATGACTGCGGATTAGGATATATTTAAAAAAAAAAAACTGGGTTGGGGATGCTTGGTGCCGCATGCTCATGAAGTGTACTATTTAAGCCTTTCAGAAACTTTCGATGTGAAGGGAGGGAAAGGAAAGAATAGCTATACTCACTTGTAAAATGATTTATTTTAATAA